CCCCCGACCATTTAGTGGGAGGGTACGCAATTAGTGTTGATGAGAAAGGTCCAGGAAACCATAAACGTCACTGGGCTCGCACGTACAACGTGACGCTGGCAGAGTCGATGAGATCGGGGCCTGATATCCGGGTGCAGCAAAGACCGAAGGCCACCGAGTCGAAAAGACCACGGGCGATAGTGCCTTTCGTTGTACCCATCGATCCCAAGCAATTCCCCACTGGCCGTGGAAAGACTCCCCATAGACCTCCATGCGTAGATAGAAGAACACAAGACACGAAAAGAAGTCCAAGACCTGGAGGTGGTTTTCGCCGTAACACCCAGAACGCAGAAAAAACGCATGAAGAGATGGCCGGTTGGACCGTCGAGCACAGGTCGAATGGGAGGTCTCGGGCGCGAAACCGAGGTCGAAGATCAGCCCGGATCGAAAACCAAAACATCCTCTAGGGGTAAAAAAAGGAAACAGGTCTACAAGATACCAAGGGGTACCATGCCGTCATAGATCGATCCAACACTCCTCGGGAGATTAAATAAGACAAGACACGCAGTTAAAACGCCTTTCATAAATGCAGCGACTCAGAGGAAGTGGGTATAGATTTTCGACGTTTCATGGACTTCCATCTCCTGTCCCAGACAGTCAGTTACACTCGTCGCAACCAGCATGGGATGCAAATACGTACCATTTTGAAGTTGTTGAGCTCCTCCTTGATCTGCTGGGCGAGCAGGGGCGTCAGGCGATTGCAAGTGGCAATGTCACCCCGTCGATCATACTCCCCACTGGGCCACGTCTCATGAAACTGGATACGGGGACTGAAAACAAGGCTCTTGGAAAGCGGCGTGACGGGGGCGCTTTTAGCCTCAGACCCCAGGAACCGGCTATCGGAGAGATAGTCATCTTCGCCGGCAATTTTGATTGCGTCGGAACGGCGGTTGCCAGACCGCGTCGGGTCCTCCGGTGTGCTAGGAACACTAGAGTGCGGCGAGTCGCTGTTGTTGATCGCTTGAGAGTTCTCAAAAGACTTGGTGGAAGTTGTAGGGACATTGGTGTCCGAGTTTGTCTCTTCAGCAATGTTAGACAACCTGTTCGACATATCAACGAACAAATGAAGCAAATTACGTACTTTTGAGAATGCCTTTCCGGACTGCCGCCAGGACTTCCGCTCGCTCTCTGTCTCCTCCAACAATGCTCTTCCGCGACTGGCCCTTGTCAAGGCCGCCATCATCATGACCTGCGGCACTTGATCCAATCGATTCCAATTTAGGAAACGCCGTACCCCCGTGGGGTAGATCGCGAGCGTCCGCGTTAACAGTTCCACTCTTACGCTCGGCTTCGATGTTGACCACAGACAGTTGCGGCGCCATTGGCTCGGTGATCACAGCATCCGTGGACGATGTGCTCATGATGGACTTGGGGCGAAACAAGCCGACGAGAGACCGCGTCGATCGTTTCATCCCTTTGCCCATCTTTCGCAGCATGATCGATGCGGAAGACGCGGTCGACGAGACGGACAGGTTATCGGTAGAACTGTTGAAGATACGGCCTTGGTGGTGGGACGAATAAATGCTCTCGCCCAGTCCACTTGCCTCCTGCTGCTCAGCAATCGCCGCCTGCTCGGGGCCCAGCTCCTCCTGTAGCAATTCCCGCCGAGCCCTTTCAGTAGCAATGACCTCTTTTTTGTTCGACGCCTTGCGGAGCTCAGAAGCACTGCCAAACGAGAAAGCCCTTCTCAACCTGGACTTACCCGGACGTTTCAGATCGTTCTTCGCCAACTCTGATAGTCGTTCTGGGGGAGGATTTGCAGCTGCGGTAGGTTTGGGACTTGGAGTAGACTGCGGGGGTTTAGGCGAAGAAGGCTTCGAATCGACATCAACCGGCTGAGAAAGGGGTGAGGGCTTGCTGGTTCGCTTGCTTTCCTCTGGTTTGCTGGGGCCTCGACTTGACGGGTTTGCGTTTTCGATGTGTCCTGCATCGCGCACGGAGGATGTAGAGGAGGGCGCAGAGGGAATGCTTCCTTGAACATCTCGATTGGATTGAGCCGATCGGGGTCGGTGGTTCTGGTCGAAGTAGTCATGGCCACCTGTCGATGGGATCGGCGATGATGTAGGCAGGTGAAGTTGCATGTTGATGAGACCGGCGTTATCAATCGTACCCCAGCTTCGGCGACGGTACCGCTTGGCCAATTCCGTTTGAGGCTTGTCCGCACGTGAAGTGTCGTCTGCACTGGGCGCTCGAACGTGACCAGGGCGGCGAGCGCCGTCGGAAACAGAGCCGGTTGATCCTGGAGAGCCGGGTGTGCCGGGTGTGCTGGGTTGGAGAAGGCTATCATCCATCGCGGCTGGTGCAGTCCGTACCGACCCAGGTGCGTTCGTCTGTGGTAGCGGAGACGGGAGCCCCGCGGCACTGTCAGGACGCCGATTTCCGCGTCGATACCGATCGGGAGAGGGCCGAGCAACGGTGGGAGAAGATATGTTCATGAAGTTCGAGGAGGGGATGTTGACCGTCGACAATGGACGTAAAGGAGGCTCAGCACGAAGCTGCCGAGATGGGATGGCGGAGTCGTCTTTCGACATGTAGGACTGAACAGAGGAGTTGGAGGATGAGGATACAGAACCAGCTGCAGGGTGATAGGAAAAGCGCGAGTTGAGTCCGCCGTGGGCAGGACTTGCGGATAATTGGGGTGCGGAAGGAGCAGAAGAGGTACGATGCTCGGGTCTCAAGTGAGGAGAACCCGACTGACGATTGTGCATGCTCGTTGAATTGGAGAGGTTGGGAGTGCTGTTGAATTGGTAGGGGGCCACAGCCTGGTGGCCTGTCCTGTATGTCGCTGAATTACCCGTTGTATTGTAGGGATTCCAGGACATAGTCGAATTCCGCGGATTTTGAGATTGCGAGAGGGGCGACGAAGGTGCGAATGCGCCCGAGGAAGATGATGGTCGAGTTTGGAGCACAGTAACCGTGCCACTTTGCTGAGGAATTGTCTGTACCAACGCAGCCATGATGTTCTCCTCCGCTACTCAGAACGAAACAGGGTCTGACGCGTGACAGAGAGCGTCACAAATATGTTGGTCCCTTGAGAGGCAAGATTATTCTTCCAACACTTAGCAAGTCGAACGTCGAGGGATATCCGAAGAAGTATTCAAGGGTGGGAGTAAGAGATAGGGAAAAGGAAAACAGGAGAGACTCTGTGCTACACACAGCTGTCAGTCAGCATTGCACAAAAGCGAGCGGGTTAACAGGTTGGTTAAATTTCAAGGGTCGATGGCTCTCTAGCCACGATGGTGCTTGCCTCCTCAACACCCAGGGGGGGGGTGGGGAGGGGTGATGTTGTGGATGGGTGGGAGAGGGGAAGGGATGATAGCGAAGGGAGCGTACCTGTTCTAGAGGAAATGCCAGTGGATTATACTGATACAACAAATAAAGAAAATGCGCTTCTGTTATGCAGAATGAATGCTGTTGAGGAAAAAGGAAGAAAGGGAAACGAAGGGCTCGGATCAGGCGATCGAAGAGGGAGGAGTTGGCGACGGAGGTACGACGGAAGGAACACAAAGCTCCAGGATGGCAGAGGCTGTCTAGAGCGGTCGAGCCATGTACACAGATGAAAATGAAGATCGGAACGATAAGGAAGCAGACGGCGAAAGAAGATGAAGGAGGAGAAAACGGACAATGGGAGAAGTGGAGGGAGAAGAGTCCTTCAGGCTGGGCACCTTGTCTTCTGAATCAAGCAGAAGACGGGCCGGCGGGCGAGGACGGGGAGGAGCGAGGGGAGAGAGAAAGAGATGGGGTAGGCGAGAAAACGGATAGAGGAGAGGAAGAAAAAGAAGAAAAGAAGAGAGCCTGAAGGGCTGAAGGGTAAGATGGGAGAGGAAGAAGAAAAGGAATTAGGGAGGGAGGGAGAGTGAGTGAGTGAGAGTGAGAGGAGAGATAATGGACGGGAGGAATGATGGGGATGGGGATGGGGATGGGGATGGGGATGGGATGGGAGTTGCGCTGCGCTGCGTTGCTTGTTTCGCTCACACTCTGTCTCTGTCTCTCTCTCTCTCTCTCTCTCTCTTTTCTCTGTTGCTCACTCTTAGGGGAGGCCGACGACTGACAGGCGGGCGGAGACTGACGGACGGGATTTTCCAGACACCGCGAGAAGAACGGAACGCCAGGCACACAACACTTTCTTTACTCCCAATCTCTCTAATACTGACCAATTCTAACTAATGGTCTTTTATTTATTTTATGCCGATTTGATTCACAATTTTTGAATTTATTTTATAGGTGGTCATTTCATTCGCATGCACTCCATGTAGAAGTTAAAAGGATGATTTCCCAGCCAGATAAATCTTCCCCAAAAAAAAAGAACAAAAAAGAACAAAAAAAAAATAAGTGGACAAGATGGTGGGTGGGTGGTTGCTGATAGAAAATCCACGAGGCAAACCCGATGAAGTGTATGTACATACATTGTACAGTATGGTACATACAGAGAGTACAGAGTCTCTTCGGAGAACCTTAAAAGAATGACGCAAAAGGATAATATTTTTCATAAAGATTACTCTTATTGCAGGTGCCAGTCATAGTGACATGGAAAGCCGTAGTTGAGAAAATGCAGTGATTGTCAAGCTTGACACCTACCATGTATCACTCTATGATCCTCTCTCTCTGATGGATGGGAAGATAAATCAATCGTATCACCCAGCCCGGTTAATCGTTCGCAGTCAGATAACTTAACCGTAGGTAGATTAAAGTTCGAATTCTTCTCCTGAGAGTCGGTCCTGGGCCTCTCCTTCTGCATCAGCCAGCGAGCTATTATTATTCGCTCGTCCGACGAAAGGGGTAAGACATCTTTGGGGCTGTAGACTGGAGAGAACATAGAACGGTAAACCCGGGTCCATCAGCTTGTAACCGGTACGGAGAGAGTATGGAGGTTAGTACGGAGTAGGTACTAGACTGGGGACTAGTCACTCGTAGTCTTGCTCGCTCAGTAGTACTCCGTAGTAACGATAAGTCATGCTCTGCCTTTTTCTGCCCTTTTGCCTTGCTATCCTACTCAGGACTCCGTAGACTAAGGAAGTATTCCGTACCTAGTATTGTTATCGATACGACTATTCCCCGTCCTCGATACGTGAGCGGGTCAAGAGCAGCGAAACCCCTCTCTTCCTATGGACAGATAGTAATGCCAACCCACTCCATCCATGGATGGAAACAGTAATCGAAGGCGAAGAAACTAAGGTTACCTGGGGGGCTAGGAGTGGATGGTGGACGGGGCGTAAGTAAATCTGCCGGCCGGTGCCTGGTTCCGTGGTAGATATCGATAGATGATAAGTGGGATCAGTGGGATCGATCTCTTCTACGTAAGTACGTACTTCTGGAGGGGTAGTTGAGTAAAGGTGATGGTGTGGTGATGATGGTGATGATGATAGGTGTTTGTATGTTCTTAGTAATGAGCTTGTGAAGTTTGAATAGGTAAGAATACTACCGTAGTTACTACTACTGTCAGCGTGTTTGACCATTTGGCCTGCCTCAGGCCAAGATGAGCCGCCTCCTTTTCCCTGCCCTGATTTGCATCTCTGTCTGGGCAACAGCAGCAGCAGCAACAACAACTCCTCCTCGGTATCAGAAGAAGAACTGAACAGAACGTGCTAGGTGCATGAGCCCATGACTGGGACCATATGCGTTCCTAGCGAACTGGATAGTCCGATGGGAACGGAGCAAATTGGAAGCTGCTTTGCAGCCACACGCCAACTAAAATTCTTAGCTGTCACGCCATGACTGCTAGTCCTGGCAAGTCCTGCCCAGGTTTTTCCCAGAAATCGAAAAGAAAAAAAGTGCTACGGAAGCTCGGAGAAACCATCCGGAGGTAGCTAGTCGGTAACCGCGAAGGGGAAAGTTCCCTCGGTCGCCGCGGGACTGTTGCCGCCTTGGACCGATGGGCATAAGAGGGGCCTTCCCTCGTGGATAATAATAGATTAATGCCATTATTATACCAGACCGATAGTAACTTAACGTCCAGGGTTTCTTGCTGAACGTCCTGCAAACCACTTCCCACACATCTGTTTTAGCACGGCCGGCACTGGATGATGGTCTTCCGAGCATCTTGCCCCTGAGACTAGGTAACTTAGCTTTGTAATCGTTATTTACCATGCAAAAAATAAGTCTTCGCCGTAGCAGGAACAGAAAGGGTTTAACTCGACGCAATCTCATGGGGGGAGGAATCCCGGAAGGGTTTCTCCTGTACAATGATCTCACCGAGAAGATCATCCCCTTACCAACCAGCAGCATCACCCCGGATTTCCCGCCTTATGCCTCAACATGATAAGTATGGCGGTGGTCTCGTTCTTCCCAAACACAACAAGTATCTCATGGCTGCCATCTGTGTACTGTACTACTATCTATCCAAACCGAACCTCTTAATTCTCCGAGTCACCAAGCACACAACCCCTTTAAAAAAACAAACAAACACACAGAGAAAAAAAAAAAAAAAGAAGTTGAACTCAAATTCCCCTGAGGGTACCAGACTTCCTTTACCACAAGTTCAAATTCCCATGAAATTCGAGTCAGGTCATTCCAATCTCCAGCTACCAGTGGGATCCTCCCGTCAACTAGTTCCGTGGTTCAGATTTGTTCCACCAGTGTGTAACCCACGACGAGAGTAATGGGCATAACCCGCGTTTTCGTGTCCCCCCCCCTTCTTCTCTCTGAATGAAATTTAGGTTCCTGCTTCTCTTTTCGTCTCCGGTTGCAGCATAAATTCCCGTGTCACAGACTCCTACGGAGCTTTGTGTACCATGGGACAGATCATTATGATTCAACCATCTGCCGTGATTGTCTTTCGTAGTAAGTTATCTGTTCTTTGTAGGGGGGCGCCAACTTAAACATTTGCAATACGAATCGAATCGGATGTCCCCAGTTGGTACCGTGAAACTGTGAACCCTCAAGATCCAGTCTTCCTTCAATTGTGGTAAGTGGTAAGGTTGGTGCTCTGTACCATGTAAACTTATATAACTACCGAGTTCCCTATGCTGAATTGTCAAAAGTGTAGATGATGTCAGCTCTTCTCAACCGAGCCGAACAACAAGTCGTTTCAGCATCACGGAATCGCGTAGTACTGAGCAAGAGACGCTGGATTCGCAATGCATCTATGGGGTGCATCTGGAATATTCACCGGCATCTTTGGGATTGGTAGATCACATAAATTCCCTCCTATACTTCCAGTTGATGACAGCCAGCCACGCAAAGTATCGAAAGAACGGGCCCTCCAACTGTAGGGCAGAGCACGAATTAGGAAAGGAGAATCAATAGAAGCACCCAACGGAAGTAGAGCTACATTACAACAAACAAAAAAGGCATGGAAAGTTTCGGTCTAATTGTCAATCCGACTGAAAAATCTACAAGTTAATCTTTCAGAGTTAGAATTTCGGCTATTGACGCAGTGCATTGCAGTAGCCACACACACACCATTCAACTCTTTTTCTCTCTTTCTCCCTCTTTCTCCCTCTCTCGTTCGGAAAGTTCTCGGCCACTGTAGGGTTTGAAACAACGTTTTTCCTTTCGTAACGGATCATGTCAGAGACGATCGAGGAAGAGCCGCTTGAGGCAAGACTGAGTTCAAGGTATGTGGCGGATATTTCGGCCACCACCTACTATAGGCAGGTAGGCAATTAGGCAGGCAATCCGAGCTTCCAGATCGCAAAGTTAATCTCTTTGGATGATTCAAAGCTTGGCAACATTCTTCTTGGGGCTGAACCCGAGACTCTGGATGGCTCGACTGGGAAGGACTCGCTTACTGATGCTCTATGGGGGTAACTCACTACGCTTGAGTATTGCTACTGTGGGAGCTCTCACTCGTATACTGGAGGGAGTAAAGGGGTATCTACCAAGTCATGAGAAGCGAGAAGGGGCTCGTAAAGAGGAGGAGATAAATTCAATAGCCTGGTCAACCGGAACTATATTCTGAGGTTCTGGTTGTGCTGCTGACTGTCGGTGAGCCCAAAGCTTACTATCTGATCCGTCAAGTTTCTCCCACCTGTCGTGATCATGGGGCGTTCGGAAGATCGGTTCAGCCCAGGTCGTGCCAGCCTGCCAGGCCGACCGAGATAAGTAAAGAAATGTATACTCCGTACAGTACGAAATTCTCGGGACATTGTTTACCTGAGAACCAAGCGGGACGGGCAGACAGGGTGTTGTTGCGTTTTGGCTTGAGAGCGGAGATTGTCGAAGGGGCCCACTTGGGATGGGTTCTCAAAGCTCAACGAGCTTCCTTCGCTTCCTTCGCTAACTACCACCGGCGAGAGGGAAGTTAGACACCTCAAATGTTCCATTGTTTGTTTGCTCACCCTAGTCGCTCTGTAATTCCAGCTCATCTTCGGCTACCAACGCTGCTACCACTTCAGATTGACTGACAAGTAATTTCGGAGATGGGTAACCGAAGGCTTTCATCTCAAATTGAAACCCGGATCGTTGGTACAGTACCGTGAATCGTGAATCTCCCTCCCACACAATCCACAATGAGGTGGATAATTCATCTCTGATTCTCCATCACCGAAACGCCCACCCCCTCTTTTTTCTGCTCTTTCTCTCTCGCGCTCTCGCGCTCACAGACTCTCATGTGGTTAGTGCCACTGCAGATCCCCTGTAAGGAGTTCCTGCGTGATCGACAAGAGCAACGTCGCCATAGTTATCGCCATCAACATCTTTTCTTTGACAAGGCAGCTAGCCACACCTACCCAGCCTGCCAGCAATACAGCGGCGGGCACATGGACCACAAAGGTAGATTGAACAGGACCGTGGCTGTGAACAGTGGGCAGTGGGCAGCGGGCAGCGGGCAGCGCACACTGCCATCAAGTTTCACATCTTGTGTCTCAATTACCCTCCCCACATTCGCAGTGCCCGTCTTTATCCATACAGGACCACAAAGGGCAAGCACTTCCATCTACACGACACGCCTGTCCATGACCAAGTGCTTCCAGAATCTCTTGAGAGATTGCGCAATGGCAACTAGATGCCATGACCCTCTCTTCCATCTAATCTTTTATCATACCCATACTCATACTTCTCCCTCCCACCCCTAATCCTCCAACTTAGGGCCCCCCTTCCCCCCTTATCTAGTACGAGTACGCATTTTAGTACCCGTATACTCGGACCGAACACTCCGCCGAGCCCGGTAGACTGACTAACATTTATCATGAATAATGAATAGATCATGTTGCCATTCCTCGGTAGACAGCTTGGAAGTGGAGCAAGGGAGGAACCAGGAAAACCACTTTCCTTCGTCTAACCGATAAGTTATCTAGGCATTCGCATTATTGTCACCACTGAAGCGAGCTACCAAAAGCAATTTGGCGGAGACGAAGAGTTAAATTATCGTACGGTCTGTACTCACATACCTGTATAAATTGATTGAATGGTATTCGGCGACTTATGCACTAGCGCATAAACAACAAGGACCCCGTACTGTACTCCGTACAATGAACACATTTCCGATAAGTGATCCGATAAACAAAAACCACGGTTCCACTCAATTTCAATCTCCCAGGAAGCGAACAGTCATATGTCTAGGAATCGACATCATCATCATCATCAACTGCACTCAAGCGCGCACTGAACCTCAGAAATTCCGACGATCGGCTGAGCCATTCCTCGTCTCTATTGCGTCTATGATACCCATTTTTTCACGAACCCGACTCAACCTTGTCAACCCATAACCAGGCATTCAGAATCATGATATAATTATGATATGATAACCCGAGTCACAACGACCTACGTAGTATTCTCAACGGCGATTTGCGGTTTACCATCCCGCGAGGTCGGTACCTCTCCGTGCTGTAATACCACACATACTCGTAGTACTTGTACTCAATAGAAGTATGGGTAGGTACTCCGTACATACTCACAACTCCGTCATAGAGCTTTGTGCCTTGCTTCAAATAAAATCATGATGGGCATTTCCCGTCACCTGATTCGCCTCAAACAACGATCGAAAATCCGCAAATCACCATCCACCAAATAAAAAAAAAAATATCGGCTTGAACCGCGACCGCGGGGGCAGTACTGTGACTAAAGCTGTTGCCTGAAAAGACAGGCCGGCAGGCATCCAGCCAGCCAAGGCGAGATAACCGGCATGACCGCGGAATCCAGGGACGATCGAAATCTAATTTATCCCCATAGAAATCTCACATGGCATGTGGTAAATGACGTTTTGTTTGTCACATCTCCCGAATACGAGTCACCATCCAGGAACAAACCCAAGGTTCATCATGATGAGAAGATGGGGTAAAGAGGGGGTGGGTGTACACTGAGTACACAAAAGTCAAAAGTAGAATGTGAATCGAAAAGGTACTGAGTACTAGATATCGCTGGGGGCCTGGACCGGCTAGATTGACCCCGGATTTTTGTGAACGAAGCTAGCGAGGAATTCGAATCAATTGTCATGGAATGAGGGGGTAACATCCTCCAGGTTTATCGATTGGTTGTTTGGTGGCGCGGGTGACTGACAGGGAATTGATTGCTTCGATATTGCCCGCCGGGAGGAGACAGAGACATGGGTGCTGTGGTTGCGTACGGCAGGAATTTGGTGTCGCAGTTGCTGTGTGCATTGAATCTAGTAGAAGCTGACTGGCTGCATGGGTTCGATTTGCTTGATGCGTCGGGGTACTACTGTTGCTGTTGTTTATCATAATCAATTGCTACGATGGATGATGTTCAGCTTGGTCGATGTATTGCCTCCTGTAAGCATTTCTTTTCACCTGTTCAGGATATCTTAAATGATAGGTTCAAGTAGAATTGCTTGCGAAAGAGAGCAAAACATCTACAGATATCCTTTGCTACCGTTGCAAGAAGTCTCTCTTTTGTCAATATCGATACTTACGAGTGTAGTCGCAAAGTACCGGTCGGCAACATATTCCACACATACGGATAGATCCTTCTTATCGCCACCAGCTACACTCGTGCTACTAGTATCAGCTATCTCATCCCGTCACTCAAGCAGTCAAGCTTTAGTATAGCCAGCTGAACCCTGAATGCAGGACGTCCCCGCGCCAACGCTCGCCAGCCAAGCCATTTGATCTCATCATCTCATCAAAAGTCGAGTCCTGAACCCTAGAAACTCACAACCAGGGCAGGAAGCCGCTCAGCACTCCACTCGTGGCAAACGTCCCTACCCTGTTCCAGGGCGAGAGGAGGGGGGCATTCTTCCATTTACTGCAGGAAGTTTAGCCCCAACGTGCTCAGATAAACAAATAGATTGAACGACAATCAACCTGCAGGGAGGGGCAACGTCCATCCCCCACCTGCCCGCCTGATTGGCCGCACGGAGATAAAAATCCCAGCCAGTATCCATGCAGTCGAGATTAAGATATCTCTTCCCCCCCCCCCCCTCAAGTAGACCATATGTGTAAATTACGGAGTAAAAGGAGTAAAAGCTCCAGAACAAGCCCGAGACTAGGTAAGCAGGGACACATCACCATGTATACTGAGTATATTGTTGCTGCTGCTGCTGCAAACAACCCAACGCTGGCAGTGTGCCCTACTCATCACGGAGATATACCTGAAACACCTTAAGGGCTTAGTGACTACCAGCTACGGAGTACTTCCCCTCTGATCTGTCCGGACATTAGCCCAGCGGCGAACACGCTATGATGATTGTTCTCGGAGGTTAAAGAACCTCCCCCCTAGTCTTCGTCTACTATAATGAAGATACTATGGTACTTTTTTCTTTTTGAGAAACGGGGGAAAGTTGTGTATACTTGACCAACATAAACTTGCCGAACTGCGAGTGCTATACTCCGTGCTATACCATCCTTACCTCCCCGAAGTACTGCCCTCCAGCCCGTTAGGGTCGTAGTACAGTCAGTACATACCACTTCGCGCCTCAAGACCGTCATCTGACTTCCGTTCCTTGTCCCTGTTGACTCTGGAGCTTACCGAGCGACCGACGAATGGACAGGATAGGTTTGCAGTTCATTCTACTCCATACTAGCACACTACTGTCAATGACAGTAGCAGAGAGTAAGATGACACCAATCAACGCATCTCGCACTCAACTAGACATGTGCTGAAAAGTCCATAAAGCGTTGTAATTAGTTCAATCCAATCCCTTTCAAACAAAGGACAGTACTTGCGTGCCCATGCTGGAAGTACTGCTGCAACTCGTAGGAACCGAATTGTCAACCACTCTCACACTAGCGCCATCTGCATGTCGCTGCAATCGGAAAACCACCAAGCGGGGTTTTCGCTGACTTGTTCGCGTAAAGATTCCTTAGGCTCAGCTGCTGACCTTACCTTCCTACTTGGGTTTCAAGATGATCAAATCTTCATCTCACATGAGCTCTGGGGAAAAAAAAGTAATCTTAATTGAATTGTAGCTTCCGTGACCTGTATGGTTGGTTTTAAAGCCTCTCACGCGTACTGTACCTTTTTTTGAGGGAGGGGGAAGCTGGCAGTCAACTTTCCGAGTCATGTATGCGACGGACGTGTACTGTACTGTAGATTTCGATCAATATTAGGATCTTCTCAGAGATAATACCGAAGCAAGAAAGACATAACTAATCGAAAAGGAAATTGACAAAACAGCCGACTCTCTCCCAAAATTCGGGCTTTGCATGTGTTGTGTTGCGTAGTGGTTCGCTGGCTTATCTGCTCTTGCTGGCTATCCGTCTGTCTGTCACCACTGACCAAATGCACCCCCCGATCTGAGTCAATTTTCGTATGCTTCCTACGTAAGTGTTTCAAAGCAAGAGAGAGAGGGCCACATCTTCCCAACTCTTCCTGCCCGAAGAATTTGAGAAATATACACATCCTTAATGAAATTCGAATTTGAACAAGCAACAAGTCCGGGTCAGATGAAAAAAAAACCGAAAGACGGCAGGCAACATCTCAGACATGAACCGCCCGATCTTGACCCACTGCGGGGTCCACAAGAGGTCTTGGGGGAGAGAAGCAGAAGCAGAAGCAGAAGCAGAAGCAGCAACCTGATCCGATCATGGCTTCCAATCTAAACACCCAAGAAGAAGTGCCATGACGATAAAGACGGGAAAGTATTAACAGACACGATTACTGAGGTATCATGCCATAGAACCGGCCCGGAAGGAGTGTAGATCTTTTTGATATCATCATCAACATCATCGTCATCATCATCACCCTCGTCATCAACTTTATCAACACCAAATCTCCTATCCCGCCTGCCATCATCTCCTCTGGTACAGTACAAAAGTATACACACCACAGTCCCTGGCATCCTTAATCTCCTTATTCGGTATTACAAGGAATTGCCCCAAACAAGGAGTTGTGCATGAATGGATGAAATCCAACCGCCCACGAAACAAGAAGCATAATTAATGGAGCAACAGACACGGGTGTGCCTGTGGGTACTTCCTTTTTCTTTGGGCCCTTTCCTTTAACTTAACTTAAACTCTCTTAACTTTCTGTGAATTGGCGGGAGCAGTGTTGTTTAAAACTTAGGGCACGGATGGATGGATACTTCTGCGTTTGAAGGGTGTCAGGGATAGGTCTTGGATTATACGCTAATAACTTCTTTGGTTTGGTGTTATGCTCTGAAATATATGCTCAAGTTCTATGCTCAAATTCTATGCTCAAATGCTATGCTCAAGTTCAATCTTGAAATTCTGGGCTCTGAATTTGATCTGAAACTTTTGCAGGTGAGGTTAGTGGATTCCACATAATTACAACTATGATTGATGGTGGTCAGACATTCCAAGCTAAATAGTTGTAAGAAGATGGTCTCAGGCTGCCAGGCATTAAATCTCCCCAAGCACGGATGCACATCAATCTGTACCTCTAGTACATCATGCGCTGCTGTTTCTGATGGTTCTATGAACATAAATCCTTAGGCTGCCAGGCATTGAGTAAGTATCCCGAAGGATGAGGTACGTACCTAGTAGCCATAAGGTCCAATGCTGTACATCGACCTGCATCTCCAGAAAGTTATGCCCCGCTGTTCCTAATAGTTCCAAGAACATAAATCCTCAGGCTGCCAGACATTCAAGGGCCTCGAAGTAGAACATACTGTACATGGATCTTCTTCTAGTGAATGATTCTCTGCTGTACTTGATAGCTGTGTTAAGTCCTCAAATAAAAGATACATATGTCAGTCTGCACCACTAATAAATTATGCTCCTGTGTGCCTACATACTACATACAGATGTTTCTGCATATTATTATGGCCCGTTATACATAGAGCATACCTCAGTATACTGTGGCACGAGATATCTCAAGGAACAGGGACATTCAGATCAAAGTTGCAAGCGAGGAGTCCTCATCTGTAGAAACAGTATTGTATATGAACGAGAGATTATTATCAATCACCATCCAGCCCAGTACAGATAAAAGTAGTATCAGAGAATAGTCTTACCTACAGATTCAAGAGGAAGCAAAGAGCTTATAGCCTTATAAAGTCACATCTAAGTGAGCTTGTTAAGCTTTGATCTACATCGTGTACAACATCAACCTTATACAGTTTGGGATATGCAACCTTATAAACCACTTAATAAAGAGATAGCTTAGTACATGTACTAAAATCGCCAAACTCATCTGTAAATCACATGCGCCAGTCTCTTTCTGTTGCCACTACCGTGATGAGCGCCATTCACTCTGGTCAAGAACAAAGTCCGGTTCTCTGCACCTGTACTAGGGCTATATCACCTCACCCCCAGGATATGCGCATAAAATAGGCTAATTTTACGCGCGCACACGATCCAAAAAGGAGTCTGCTTTATGCGCACCCACGATGCAAAAAGAGGACCCGCTTGCGACGCTGAGAGAATGAACTCACAACCTCACAACACGCCGTGTCGCTCCACCAAGTCATCAGCTACCTTGTGATTCCCCACCGCCGAGAGCTTCACCGGAGTCCATCTGGACGTGTCAAAGACACACACCATCACCGAGGTCCAACCAAACTGCAGGATATCAACCGTCGGGATGTGTCGTATGGAGGTACACATCTACTCCTGCACCCACATCTGGGCCCTCAAAGAGCGCTGCCCCTTCCACCGGATGCCAAATCACCAGGAACTGCCGGCCAGGACCCTGACGATTGCAAGTCCCTGCCTGATTTGTCGTGACCCCCCTACCAGGTACACGTTCCTGAGGCAGAAAACGCTCTTCACTACTCAGTCCATGGAGACTATCCTTGGCATGTCCCGTCACGACCCGGGTTTCATTGACAGTGTGACACGCTTTTACGCGAGGGGTGATCACGCTCGCTGGATGCAGCCGGGATACCTGCGACCCAAGAGCCTCGAGGATCATCAGGAGGAAGAGGCGTACTTGCAGGCGGTGCTGGTTTCGTCGGGGCAGAGTGTTGTCGACACTGCTGTTGCCACCAGGCCTGCTGCAGGCACCTCTCAGGAAGCTGTCACAATGACTTCCTCTTCCGCCGCCGGTCACTCGACGTTGAACACGGAGCCTCAGAACGTCGCTGCCCATCCGCCTCTTGAGAGAGTGGGAGAGGCGCAGCCCCGTCCGCCGATCGTGGTCGAGAACGAGGCTACACAATCGGCGAGATTGGTGCTAGGGCCTCAGAATCAGACACTAGTGGTTGGAGAGTCGGCGCTGGGAACACTTCTGGAGTATTTTGGCACGGCTCCTGCGCCAGCATTTGTTGAGGTTAGTTCTTCGAGTCGTCCAATAAAGGCAGGCTGATATGCGTTTGTTGACACACATACACACACAGGACGATGATCCACCAAGTCCATATGTGCCGATGCCGATACTCAACTATGGGACTGTTCAGCAGCCGCCTGCCATGATCTCACACACAGACCCGAACATCCCCCTTGGCATCACCCCAGCGATCCACGATGCTTCTCAGAGCACGGGGTTCAGTGAGTCTCCCCAGAGTTCCACAGATGGAGTATCCCGAGACCCGACCTCCCCCGACCTCGTGACTGGCTACAGGAACCTCGCACAGAGCCACGAAGATCCCTTCTTCGACCCAGCTTCTGCCCGCCAGAACGTCTTGAGGCCCAGGCCCGCGATCCCACCGGCGCGCATGAGACGCCCGTCCAACGACCCCCAGTCGACCCCGGCGCTCAACGGGCCTCGTCCTCGTCCCCAAACTGGAGGGCTCATGGGTCCACCCGCGCTCCCTGCGACCCGGCGCTCCTGGCTGAGACAGCCCACTAACGCGAACAGCTACTGGCAGGACCTGGACTTCGCATCCTATGCCACTCCCTCGACCGGCCCCGACGCCCCCGAAGCGGTACCAGAGGACACAAACGACCCGCAGACAAACCTCATGTCGTCTCCCACCGTGATGATGCAGCAGAGGCGCAGCGGAGAGATCAGACGCGGAAAACGTCCGGTGCGGGAACTATACCCAATTTTGCCCACTTTGCCTGTTACTGGTGATCCCAATGGTAACAATCATCCTAACAATGCTGCCAGTGCGGATCCGAAACCCCCGATGAAGGTCGTCGTCGCGTCTAAGCCCGCAGCCGAACCCAAGGCAGAGCCGGAGCCTAAGCGTCCTAGATATGTGAAATTCCTGGATGATACGACTATTGTGCCGTGCTCGCCTGTTTCGGCCAGGAGTTCAGGTAGAGGCGCCGGTGCTGTCAACCCTCGTGCCGATGCTCGTCTTCGGAACGTGGGTCTGGGAGGAACGGCCGATGATGCGGTTGACGGCTTTGGTCTTTCGGAGCGTAACAACCATCAGCAACAGGAGAGTGGGGCTGTGGTTGCGGATGGCGACAAGATGGACTTGGATGAACAGAAGGGGACTGGCGACGAAACGGAGGAGTTGGAATGGATCTTCCAGTGCTATGTGACTGATCAAGAGGACCAGCGGCAGAGGGAGGAGGCTGGCGAGCACCCATTCTTCAGCAGCCCTTTCGCATGCGGCTATAACCAAGATTCCGAGGGGTTGAATGAGGAGGTTGGTGATGGCGATTGGGATATGATGCAGTGAAGTTCGGGGTTTGGTTTAGTCGTTTGGTTGGTTGGTTGGTTAGTTGGCTGGTTTGTCTCACACCGTCTGTGGAGGCGGCGAAGTACTACTACCTAGTAGGTACTTTGGTACTACTACTAGGTAAGTTACTGACTGCACTGCACCTTCCACATACTAATACCTCAGTCCATTTGTTTAGTGCACTTTTTGTGTACACTTCACTTCACTCACTCACTCACTCACTCACTCACTCACTCACTCACCCCATCAGTTCGGCTTAGGTAGCAGTTTCTGGCTCTGGTTCCTCTCTTTTGTCAGGATTGATTCTTCTTTACAATCAGGCAGAAAAGATGTAACTCTTAGAGTTCCAGTTTGTTTCTTTGTTCTCTTTTCTTCATATCTGAGAGACATCTGACTTAATAATTCTAAAAAGAACAAATGAACCTTCTCGTCAGACATCCAAAGTGTCATCACATCATTAGTATTTCTATTGCTCTTTTATCGCTTCCTGCCAAAGCGCTGTTCACCTAAAAGTCATCCTGATCATCCTCATAGTCCCCTCCATCCATATCCTCATCGTCATCTAGACCTTCGAATACCATGAACTTCTCGTTCTTCGCTTCAGTGTCATCTTCAACCACGTTGCCGTCCTGGACCTCGCAGTCCTTAAGGACGCACTCGCGTCCAATCTTGCTTCTGCGGCCAATGATGCAGCCGGACAATTGAGCACGCTCTCCAATGACGGCTCCATCCATGACTAGACACCTCGTCAGCCTTGCGCCAACTCCAATCACGCAGTTGGCTCCAATGACGCTCTCCTTGACCACCGACTTCTCGTTGATCGTGGTGTTCATGTCGATCAAGCAGTCAGCCTTGGTGACGGTGCACCTCTGCGCCACGTTCGATGTGCCGTTGATCTTCTGGTTGTGGGCGAAAGGAGAGGCGGCGACGCGGCCAACCTCCTCGATTGCTTCCAGCTTTGCCAGCTTCAACGATACGCTCAGGAGCAGAGCAGAGCTGTCCACGCGTCTGACCAATGGCGCTGACGCTTTGGAAGAGTGCATGTATGCCAGGATCGGAGGAACATGCAGGGGCTCTGCGCTGTCTGCGTCCTTGGCATCAGGATTCTGAACGCGGGAGGCGAACTGGATATCGTCAGAGAAGGCCCCTTCGCGAGCGACGGCAGCCCCCGATTTCGTAGAAATCATGGAGTTTAGATCGATCTCATCCTCCAGCGAATCTCCATCCTGGCTACCGCTCTCTCCCTTGTTCTCTGGCTGGAGGATCTCTCGCAAGTGAAGCTTCTCTCCCAGCCCCGTCTGCCACCCTGCCTTTGCCCACCATCCCACAAGATCTTCACTGATACTCTCGAACGGCTCGTTGAGACGCGAGAACTGGGACACCCAGTACGGGAAAAGATAACAATTTGCGTCTCGGAAGCTGGTAAGAAGCTTGATCCGGGGGTGTTTCTTGACCAGAGAGTGCCGAATGAGCAAGCCCTTCTGTTCCTGCATGTTCTCTTTCAATGTGTCCATCGGCATAGAGAGAGCCAGCTTCGACAGTCCGAACCGCAGCGCAGCGGGTCCGTCCAGTGGGTGAGACACAGCTGGTGCCTCATCTTCCTCGAGGGGGACGGTAGCCACGAAGTCCGTGGCCTCGCCCTTAACGCTCTCTTCCTGGCCTTTAGTTTGGTAGAACATTGCGAGACCACCACGAGGGCTGCCACCTCCCAACCCAACGGTCTTCGGTCCATCGGAGCCCCCTAGCGCGCTTTGTGCCATCCATGCTTCGATGAAAGACTCTCCCGGTATATCGCAAATCAGGTCACAGGGAAGGAGCAGAAAGTCGGACTTGATGCACGACTGGACTTCGGGGAGGCGGAGCAGTTCCGCAGTTCCGGTGGTCATGGTCAAGTCGGGCGGCGACAGAATCGACGGCGAAGGGGACGGAAGGGAGGTCAAGTAGGGATTTGTACCCATGGCACTTTCTAATGGCTGTTTGATCTCCGAAGGAGTGACGATTGTGATATCTATTACATCGGATTGGCATTGTTAGACTGTTGGGCGCAATCCTGGCGCAATTGACGGCAGTTACTGACTTGTAATTCCCATGCGATAGCACCAGTCTAGTGGATAGTAGATCATCGGCCTATTGGCAATCGGGACAAGAGCCTTAGGAGAGTCCTCATTCGAGGTGAAGGTATTCAAACTGACCTAAAAGGGGAGTCAGATCAGTAAGCTGCTTGCTTCCCTGTTTCCTTTGATCGAACTCACACCAGGTCCACAGAGAATGAGGGCTTGAATGCCCGTGTTGGGCACTGGAACTGAGTGCGGCATATTGGTATTGTGCGATTTCTGGGTGATTTAGAAGCCCGGGGAACTCGAAGAGGATGTATGGATCACAGAGTCGGCTGGTCAACCATACAAATTTTGCGACGGAAGTTTGACGCGGGGTGGAGGGGGAAGGTAATTTTGGGTATCAGGCGTCGTCAAGGAAGGCGTTTTATAGAATCGGACCTTGAGCCTTCTAGATCATGTCTAGTCTGAGCCGCGTATGAAATGGTTCAAGAGGTCGACGAGCTCGAGATCATCAGACTCCTTCTTGCTGGGTCTTTGAGTCAAGGCCGTTTGTTAGTTAACCAAAATCCCACCAGCATGCGCCGATAGCATCGACTGACTCAGCAATCGCAGGTTCGGGCTGCGCGGCAGCTGCATACAATGCAAACAGTGCGAATGTCACAAACTTCAGGACAGCATCTCTGGTCAACCTCGCGCCCCGGATTGCTGCTGCTCATAGTGACTATCGCTGCTGCTCCTCCACAACTAACCGCCCGCCGGCGGAGTAGTTTACTAGGTACTGGCTCCGTAGTTACCATACCGTAGTTAGTTATCTGTTACCGTTACTGGATAAAAAACATCCCGCGGTTAATCCAGCATCACCAGCCACATGTTTCTTGCTCCCTCCGAGGCCAGCCCGCGCGCGGCTTCGCTTCTTACTCTCACTCCCTTTCTCATTCCAACACTTACCCTGCCTGACGCCTGCCCCTTTCTTCCCTCCAGCTTGAAATGTGATGCTCAGCTTAATGGAACTTTTCTGAGCCTACGTGTCTCTTCTCATTGATTGAAACCATCCCGATGTCTTTCCCTTATTCCCAGGATGCCCGCCGCCGGCGGGTCGGAGCCGGAACGGGTTTCAGCTCTTCGGGGAGACGAACCGTCCTGGGATATTGGGTGCCACTGGCCCTGACTGTAGGCATCGCGACCGTTGGCATTGCCGCTTGGATTTGGAGCGAACGCAGCGAAGATGACGATGACGAAAATGACCGCGATCGCCGCCGCGACGATGAACCTTTCCCCGCCCCCGGTCCCGGTAGCGAGGCTTATCCTGCTGGCGGCGACTACGAGGGAACGTATGCTCGCTCAACAGCAACAGATGTCCACGGTGGCCATCCCGAAGATGCCAGCATGATGGCACGCATGCAGGGAGCCTTGCGTCGCACACCCAGCCCCCAGCAGATACTTGACGGCGCCAGCAAGCGAGTCGCTGCGGGAATGGCCGCGGCCGGAGCCTTCGTCGGCGGAGCTCTCACATCGATCCGGGAGGAGGATAGAGGAGACTTTGAAGACCACTCACGGTGGTCGGAAGAAGTAGAATCCAGAGCCAACCAGAGAGAACAGCCGGCCCGCGCTGCGCCAACGACCCGCGAGGCCGTCTCTGGCCCTATTCCCACCGATAAGAAGAAGAGAAAGACTATCGCGATTGTGGTGTCCTCTGAAACTCCTCGGGTGGATCCTGAGGAGATTATCTCGCAGCATGCGGTATGTTCTGCAGTGCAACTATGATTTGAGCCTATCACGCTAATGTACCTGTAGTCAATCCTTTCCCACCTTCCAGAACATGTCAATCTCGATACCACCCGCGTTTTCATTATGATCTATGCGCCAGGCCTGAAGCATGCCCCTAGCCAAGGCGGCTCCTCTCCACCTACCTTGTCGGTCACGTCTTCCTATTCCAATATCGCTCCGGAGGAAGCGACATCGCCGGGTGAGGTACCTGGCCGTGAACTATCGGGCGAGTCTCGTGTGACGGACGAGTACGAGGGCGCCACCCCGTTGTTTCGCACAATGTACACGCAAGCTCAGGCTCTTGTTGAGAAACCAAACACCATCATGCCCTTTAGCACTGCCACTGGCTTTGTGCATCTTGTGCGACACATTTCCCCGGATACCGTGTATGTTCAAGAGTCTTTGGCTGGAAAAGACGGAGAGGCGGTCCATCACATTTCCGGCTGGGTTAGACAGGTGGTTGTCGTGGTCGGAGACGAAGGTGGCCGCGGCGGTCTGATCGATAGCGATGACGAGTCGGCTTTGGCGGACAAGGGCGAGAAATGGTGGCAGAAGGAGGGCACCACCGGGCTCGGTAAGCGCATCGACGTGGTCGATGCGCTCCGGGTTGGCGATGATTGGCGACGACGAGTATCTGGGTTTGATTAGCGAGCTTTCGGGCTCTGCCAGTTTCACTGGAACAAGCGAAGTGCATGGACGCTTCCATATGTCTATAGCTTTACCCGCCCTATTTCCCTACTTGACGATTCTCTGCATTTCCGTTTGATTCCCCTGCCATGATGATGTGCGAATTCTTTCTGTTGGTCGCTTTCTGGTGAATATATACAGTACAGCATAACCAATGCTATCAGTGCCCTCATGCTCCTGCATGAGTCTTTTTTGTAGATCGATTCAAGGGTCATTGAAACAGACATCATCGAGGGAACCCCCAATCGGCGCTAACCCGATGCGGATATCACATGATCCAGCCTCCTTCACGTCGTCCGCGGCCTTGGGCTGGACCGAACTCCCTCTCACTTGACGCAGAGAGCCAGACGGTCAGCCCTGAAATCACCCTCCCTTCCCGATATAATTTTCTCGAACCTCCCCTGCTCTTTCTGCAGGTGTCTGTTCGATGGACTCCCCGATTTACTTCCTGTAGCGACTCCGCGTTGTGTTCAAGTGTCCGTATCCCGGCCCCTTCGTTGTCGTGCCGCTCCGACCTCCGCTCCCCACATGTCTCGCGCTCCGGCTGTATCCATCGACGACGACGACTCAAGGTCTTCCTCCATCGCCCCCGGCTTCCCCCATAACGCGCAGTCGCATTCGCTCGTCGTCGCCTCTAGTCGCGTCGCTAGCTCCCTGCTCGCAGGATGGCGACGGCAATCTCCAAGCCCAATTCGCATCCCCCTAAGATGAAACGACCTCCCCCGCCTTTTGTTCAGACCGGAATGAACGGTGTCAAGGCCCAACAATCCTCAACCTCCCCTTCTTCTACAACAAAGCACCTCCCAGGATCTGCAACACCGGCTGCTGCAGGCTCCACGAACGCACCGATGGCGAACGGCGCCAATGGCACAGCCCATACGGGCGCACCGTCTAATAAAGGCCCCCAGAACCGGACGAAGAAAGAGGCGCAAAAGGCCGGCGAGCAGGCCGGGCGGCTACAGAAGCCATTTTCAAGGGCCTCATCAATTGACGGTGATCGTCGAGCCGGAAAACGGTGTCCAGAGCCCTTCGGTGAGCTTCCGCGGTAGCCTCGATGAATGCGCTTAAGAGTTATACTAACACGTGGATCCGCGTTTCCGATAGTCAAAACCACGTCATATATCCTCAAGAAGTTCTCCAAGCACCCTCCCTCCCTGATTCTCCACCTTCATCCGACCCACTTCCGCTTTGAGCAGCAAGATGGGAGCTTTCCTTACAATTCGGAGATGAAGGTCATCATTGAACATATCCGCTCTCAAACCGTTCCTCATGACATGATGGAGGAGCTGTTACGGGCCAATGTTCGGTTCTATGAAGGCAGGCTCTTGCCCCTATACGGCACATTTAATAGGTGCTCGGCTAACTAGTCACGCGACAAGCAGGCTGTCTAATTGTCCGCGTGGTGGATCACAAATCGGTGTCGCAGCAGACTCGGAAGTCAAGCGTGCCGTCATCGAATGACAACAACACCCCCTTCTCTATACACAATTACAACGAGCACATCACACCATCTGCCTATGTGCCTTATCCGAAGCTGAATCAATTAACTTCGGAGAAGCCTTCCGCAAAGGAGGCGGCTTCGGAAAGCCAGCAGGATGTCAAGTTGGGCAGTGAGCAGCCCGGCAACTCGGACTCGCAAGCTTCGCAGAAGGATTCGAAACTCAACCAGTCGAAACAACCTTCAAAACCTCGAGTGTTTACCACTGTTTTACATCCTACACCCCGTTCGCTTCAAGCCGAGCTGACTCTTCTCGCTACTACACCTGATCCAAAGGCGGCCAAGCAGACGGCAACCAGCTCGACATCTCGACCGCAAGGATCTTCTTCTACAGCGCCGTCTTCCCCCGGGCCGGGGGCGGCCGCCAATTCACAGCAAGATCGTGCCCCTCCAGCGAAGAAACAGAAGATGCTGGTGGAACCCCAGGATCTCTTAGAGTGTGAAGCCAGGCTGACGAGAGCAATGGCTCCCCCTCTCTACCTTGAGTCCGTCAGTAGTCTTGATGGAGTTCATGATCTGTTGAAGCACATGGAAAGCCCGCTTCATTCCGATCCACCACCGTCACCCAAGCGTAGGAAGCGGACTGTGGCCGAACTTGCCGCTGATGAAGCTCTCGCAGCGGAGGAAGAGCGTTTCATGCTCATCATGGATGAGCGTCTGGAGCCAGCCACCTCCAATGGCGCCAGTGGGCCAAAATCAGCTGTTATCGATGACACCGGTGGTGGCGCGCCGTTTGAGCCACGCTTCTCAAGATTTAAGACGCTTGAGAACATCCGTATGCAACACGAAGAGAAGGCGAAGCGAGACCATGAGATCAAGGTCAAGCAAGAGATGGCCAAGCGACAGCAACAGGAGCAAGAGAGAGAGCGACGTCGTCTTGCTGAACAGCGACAAGCCGAGGAGCATGCCAAGGAAGAAGCTCGAAGACAACAGCTCGCGGCGCAGCAAGCTCAGGCACAATTGGCAGCGCAGCAACAAACTCGACATGCCATGGCTCAACCAAATGGTGTCAGTCAAGCGCCACAGTCATCGCCTGTGGTCCGCAACCAGACACCACAACACATATCATCACCGGTTGTTGGCAGCACAAGGACAACGCAAGCCGGGGTTCCTATGAGTATGACGTCTTCTATGCAGGGTGCTGGAAGCCCTTCGAGACCACCGTCGGTGATACAGCACGCGCACCCCGCCATGAGCCATCCAATGGCAGCTTCAAGAAGTCAACAAGGGCAGAGCCGACACGGAACACCACAGATGACCCAGGGCACTCCTGCCATGTCTCATGCTACGCCTATCATGCGAAATGTAACACCGACGCAGAGGATGAGCCATGCCAGTCCGAGCCATTCGACCATGGCACCTACCCCAGTTCTGAACCAGGCTACCATGATGGCGACCCCTCAAATGAGTAACGGGATGGGCCTCACAACCCAGCAGCAGCAACAGTTGCTTATGCAGCAGAGGAATCAACTTCTTGCCCAACAGGGTATGCTTCACGGCCAGTTTTCGCCGAAGGTTACCCAGATGCAAGCGAATGCGCATGCACAGCAGAATATCCAAGCCCACCAACAGCAACAGCAGCAGATG